TCTGATTTACATTAACATCGTGTAAGCACATACCTTCTTCTGAACATATTCTGATTTACATTAACATCGTGTAAGCACATACCTTCTTCTGAACACTTTCTGATTTACATTAACATCGTGAAATCACATACCTTCTTCTGAACACTTTCTGATTTACATTAACATCGTGTAAGCACATACCTTCTTCTGAACACTTTCTGATTTACATTAACATCGTGTAAGCACATACCTTCTTCTGAACACTTCTGATTTACATTTTATTTTGTCAAGCTCTTCCTTCCAGTAGCTATCTCCTTTATTTTCAAGGACCACTTTAAAGGCCTCCAGCCTAGAATAGGATTCTTCAAGCTTCTTATAATCAGATGTTAATTTCTCATAATTATTCCTATACCTGAAACCCAAAACACCCAGAAAGTTATTTGCACAATACCATAGAACACGTGTTAAAAAGGATTAAAAATGTAAGAACTATTTCTACTTCTGAGTGGATGATACACATATAATAGTAATATATTATATTAACTTTTAGCTCTATTAAGAACACATTAAAATATTCCACTATATACTAAAATTTAGCCCAGTGTAAAAGAAAACTGATGCCTCATAAATGTAAAATATATTTTTCATCCTTGCTATGCAGATGAATTGAATTTCATATCTGATTAGTAGATTGAATATAAATACAATTTACAAAATGCAAGAAATTTCATTATTAATTGATAGTATGTGTGACATTACTTCATTATAAGACTGATGATAATCATTGCTACCATAAGGTTTTATAAACCACAGTGACTGACATATTGTAAGTGACCAACATAAAAAGCATTCTGACCAAGGATTTGTGTGCTGCACATCCAGCTGGCCTGAAGAGTTCTGGTCCAGAAAATAGTTTGTTGAAAATTATTACCAGTCTTATTTTGATGTAATGTCACACAAAGTACTGAAAAATATATCAGGTTTCATAAACATATGGCATTCTATAACATAATAACCTTTTCTATTGTTAAAATATGCTATTAGTTAGAGCAAGAATAGTAGCAGCATGAATTACAACAATGAATTCAATCTCTTTGAACTGATCTGTTCTATTTCCATGTAATATAAGTATCTTATCTGCAAAGTGACTACTTTCAGGAATTACATTTCCATTATACATAGAGTCTCAAATACTTCTGACCTCAAACTAGAGCATGTTGTAAACTTAACTTTTAAATCGATTTCTAAAACCTGAAGTCTAAGATCTCAAACTTAAACATATTTAAATCTTACTTCTGAATTTCTATTTCTAATGACTGAATCCTAGATCTCAAATTGTTGCACTCTTCTCTTATGGCATAGTACTCAGCAGAATTTTTATTACTGTCAACTGTTGAGGTTTCAGCACTTCTAAGCTCCTCTAGCATGGTCTTGAGCTTTCCTGTGTGAGTGAGATACAAAGTACGATTCTGTTAGTTTCTTTTTAAATTGTTTTTGAATGGTTCTTTAGAAATGTTAACATATTTCCTGTGAGATAGCAACTGAAGTATTTTTTGTTGTTGTTTTAATTACAGTGAAGTACACTGTTGTTTACATGTGTGGAGCACGTGAGTTCATTCTCAGCATCAAAACTTGGTGACTTTTCTTAAGAAATGTTAGTTTTGGTGAATGAAATTTCCTTTGAATATTGAAAAACATAAATTTAAAATTCTGCTGTTTATGTAAGTAAATCAGAACTATTCTATTGATTTAAAATTAGCTTTTAATTTAGCAGTTGCCAGACTTTCTCAACTTCTTAGTTTCTGCTCATTATCAGCTCCACTAAATATTCCACAGTATATAAATACAGGTTGAATTCTCTGCTGATTTAACATCTTGGTAGTCAGTACATAGACTAACACATGTATCTGTATAACAAGTCAGTATGTAAAGGCGAGTCAAATTCTCTGCTGATTCTACATCTTAGTAGCCAGTATATAAATGTGGGTCAAATTATCTGCTGATAATAGTCAATAGACTAACAAGTGTATCTGTATAATAAGTCAGTATATAAATACAGGTTGAATTTTCTGCTGATTCAACATCTTGGTAATCAGTAAAAAAACCCAACAAGTGTAACTGTATAACACTATATAACATAACAAGTAAACAGATTAACATAACGTCAAAGGACAGCAAGAGACCTTTTGGTCCATCTAGGCTGTCATATTCACTAACTACAACCTTAAAAAAAAACAACTAAAATCCAGCCCTTATCATTCAAATATTTATCAAGCTTTCCTTTAAACTCTCTTGAATCAACTGTATCCACCATATCTGAAGGCAACCCGTTCCAGAGACCAATCATCCTGTTAGAAAAATAAATTCTCATAACTGAAGATAACTTCTTCCCTTTATACCCATGTCGCCTAGTTTACCATTATCACCAATAAATATTACAAAAGATTACACACCAACACTATAAATTTCCTTAACAATCTCAAACATCTCAATATGAACCCCTTTAACTCTTTTTTTTTTTCAAGAGAAAACAAGTTCACAGATCTTAACCTATCCTCATATGATAACATTTCCATCCCAAGTGTCATCTTAGTAGCTATCCTCTGAGCAATTTCCAACAATTCAATGTCCTTTCTGGGGAAAGGAGCACAAAACTGAACACAATACTGAAAATGTAGTTAACCAATGAATGATACAATGACATTATAACCTTTTTAGACTTGTATTTAATATTAGATACAGCCTAAAGTCCTATTTGCCTTGCCACCAGCAACAGCACATTGGCTTAAGAGATGGATCAATCAGAACTCCAAGGTATTTTTCTTCCATAACACTGTTAAGGTTATTCCCATCAAAATTATACTTATAATTCAAACAGTGACATCACACATGCATTACCTGCCATTTATTTGCACAACTCACCAAATAATCCAAATCTTTTTGTAAGGCAGTAGCATCCTCCCAATCTTTAATGTCATCAGCAAATTTAAATAATGCTTTAATTAACCTAGTTTGTGCTAGTTCTGAGTCAGCTGTTAGTGTTAATTGCTTGCCAAAACAGTTGCACCAAGCAGGGGCCTGGCATGCCACACAGCTGAGGTATTTCAGGGGAAGGTCCCAATGCTGATCTGGGCTTGATCAAGCTGTCAAAGGCAACCCTCACCCAGTCCCAATGAAGCACTACACCAACATCAGCCTTAAGCTTGACCAGACCAAGCCCTCATAGCCAATTCTTGTCCCAAGGTTACAGATCCAGTAGAGGCTGAGTCTCAATGGATGGCAGTAAGGTGGCTGCTCTGATAAGTATGACACTCTGACCGATACCTAAATAATTTACAGACGATTTGGTGCTCCCACATTTTACTCTGTATGTAAAAACAATGGGTACCATTTAAAACCCAATATATACCAGCTTAGTGATTTTGACCAACCTTGTAACCATGAAACTATACAAACTATAACTCTGAATTTACCATGTGTATCTCCACAAAATTTGGCAAGGTTTCAGTAAATGCTACATGTCTGTTGAACACAAAAGAGTAGATTTTTTTGGGATAAAGTATTTTTACTAATGATTTGTCTGTGAATTTATGAAACCCTAGTCTGAGTGATTTTCATGTCAAAAATAAAAATAGTTTTTATCTTAGTTTCATATTCTATTTGTATAACCTCTACAACTTCCTAAATGAATATCAGAAGTTTTCAGTAAACTTTATATTTTATCTGTTATTTTCTTTACCCTAACACTAACTAACAAATCCAGAAAAGCAGGAAAAAAATGAAAAGTTGAAAAATACAAAATAAATGCATATTATAACAGACAATTATACATTATTTATTATTACAGTAAAATCCAATACATTTTGTCACATTTGGGTTCATTTAGTATTATTATTTTACAGCTGCACTTAGTCTCAGAGTATGCCTAGAGCCATTTATAATAACCGGAGTTTGGTTAAAAAAGTGATTAAGTTACAATCACCCCTCCATTGAATTACAACCATGCCACGTGATGTGCACATGCTAGAATATTGAGAAGCACACAATTTTTTTTTTCATTTAACTTTTCTTCTAATCTAACAAGTTCCTACTTTTACATTTTAGTTATTTTTATAACAATAAATAAAAATATACATAAAAAAATAAATTCAATACTTACCTCTAGACTCATCTTTTTTTTGTATCAATGTTGGTGTTCCACAGTTTAACTATTTTTAATTTAAATTATGCAATCCAGAACACAGAATATTATCATGCACCAAAAACAGAAAGTCCTAAAACTACTAATTTAATTGGCTTTCTATGCTACAAATGGGCTAAACAATTTTCCATTAGCTGGTTGAGCCAAACACCACAAGCAAACACTGAAACTAAGGCCAAACATTTCCAAACCTGTTGCTTAAAAAACTAGCCTCATAATAAGTTCAGTAAAGTGAATCTTCTTTTTCTATTAATTATAAATTTATATATATTTTTGAAAGACAGGAGGGACATGGCATAAAGATTTGACTCTCTTGTTTATATTTCAGTAAAGCAAGAAGCTTGAAGGCTAAAAGTTTGTAATTTGTGCCAAACTCTGGAGAATATATATAGGTAAAAAGGAAATCTAAAATGGGCAATTCAGAGTGAAGAAGTGTCATGTGATACAGAGAAGTGAAAACTGAGGATTATTTGAATATTTCATCCTTAAATTAAGAAATAAAAACTTATATAATATTAAAATTTGAATTATAAACTACATTTTAATTCCAAGATTATTGACATACATTTGAACTATTTTCTGTATTCTTGAATAACAATCACACATAACTAATTTCAATAAAGCTGAAGTAAGTTATTTTTAGTTAGCAACTTCTTAAAAAAAACCCTCTTGCTTCAAAGCAGAAATCAATGAAATTGTTTCTTCTTACTCTTTAGGTGTTCTGCTTCGTTCTGACATTGTTTGGCATTTTGCTGAGCATCTTGGAGGTGTTCTGGATTTAAAAAAAAAAAAGAAATATACAGCTTATCATAATAGCACAGTTAAAGACGTTCCTATAATCTAATGAAGCATACACACCAGGGACTTCTTTGCTCTTTTACTGCTACGTTTATACATAAACAACTCTCCTAGCACGATAATAAAAACAAAAAGCCATGTTTTAATACTTTTTATATTTATCTAAAACTTGAAAGTGGTAAACACCAGGAGGTTTGATGAAAAACACTGATTCTTCATGGTGATACAAAATCTCCCATCTCATGTGGTTAATATTACATTTTCAAGGTTAAAAACAAGGGTTATAGTGTGTCCCATGTTTGTGTGACCATGGCAGTGAAAGAGTTAAACACTTTAAAATATTTATTATTTAATTAAAAGAAGAATCTATCCATCTGTACAGTGTGAGAAGCAAATTAACAAATGCACGATAAACAAGCAATATTATACATAATACACACATTGTTGGATAAGTAAATTAATAAACACTTACTTTTGGTTTGTTCTACAGTAGTAGTTAGTTTCTGTTGAACTTTTCTCTCTTCATCAATAAGAACTAAATACAAAGGAATTAACAATAAAGATGATTACATTTATTGCAATTCTGATATAACAGGATAACACGAAAACCTAATTATGTGATGAAATTTAATCCTCATACAAAATATTTCATTTTTTTAAACACAAACATGTATTTCTTCAATGGTTGACTTGTTCTTGTAATAAACTTAAATAAATAACTTCAAAATAATCATTTTCATGAACTTTTCAAGTTAGTGACTTCTCACTGTTACTAGAAGTAGAACTTTATCATTTAAGATCTTCAAAGTCTTACTTCTATACATAGAAATTTTAAAAGCTTACTTCTCAAACTACTAACTTCCTCTTGCTTTCTCCTGGAGTCCTGTTCCAAATCAGATATTTTCTCCTTTAGAGTGATTACCTGTTGTCTTGCATCTTGTAACTGCTCTTCAGTTCTAGCCAACTCCACTAAAAATAAAAATCTTAACTGAGACCTTAACAAGAAAACCAGAGAGAAATCAATTTCCAGCTCTAATAAGAATGAATCCTGATGTAATAATTTTGTAGAATTGTTTGGGAAACAAAGCAGTATTAGAGAATAAACTGCCCTTTGTACAGTAGGACCTATAACATAAGCAACTTTGATATATTTCTTATGCAACTCAATATTTAACTGGTGTCCAATTTTTGGTAGTTCTTAGTTCATTAATATAATGTCAAATGACAAGGGAATTCTTGGTCTACTTAGGCTGTCCTATTCACTAAATTAAACTAAACCTTACAAAAAATAAACCACTTCAAATCCAATCCTTATCATTCAAATATTTATCAAGCTTTCCCTTAAGCTCCCTTAAATTGACTGCATTCACCTCAACCAAAGACTACCCATTCCAGAAGCCAATAATCCTGTTAGAAAAATAAAGCTGTATTAACTGAAGATGACTTCTTCCTTGCCAAAATTTATACTTGTGTTCCCTAGTCATACCCTTCTTACCATTAAATATGAAAAAAACATGATGAAGCAACTCTATCAATTCCCTTAATAATCCTAACCCATTAACTGTTGATTCCCTGTATAGGGTACAATTCACCTCTGGCAGTTGAACTAGAGTTTGCCGTATACAGTGTATGGCTTGCAAAATTCCGTGCACTTTTAGAACAGCCACAATGAATGGGTTATACAATGATATCATAATCTCTTTAGATTTGCACTCAATATTTCTGAAGATACAACTTCAAATCCTATTTGCCTTGCCACTAGCAACAGCACACTGCTTGGATGGCTTAAGAGACTGATCAACCAGAACATCAAGATCTGTTTCTTTCATAACACTGTTAATTATACTTATAATTTGAATTGTGATATCCCACATGTATCACCTTGCATTTATTATAATAAAAAGACATTTGACTTTTATTCATCCAACTCACCAACAATCCACATCCTTTTGTATGGCAATAGCATTCTCCACAGCCAGCAACATACAAAGCTTTAATGTCATCAGCAAATATAAATAATCTATTGGCCATTCCTTCATCTATGTCATGTATGTAAATCAAAATGAGCATAGGTCCTAAAACCAAGTTCTGAGATACCCCACTTGTGACATTAATCCCATTTGACTGAACTCGATATGTAACAACCTTCCGCTTTCTTCTGTCTAACCAGTTTTTTATTTAATGAGCCGACTTATCCCTCACACCTACAGAGATAACTTTGTAACGGTCTTTTTCTGTGGCACCTTGTCAAATGCTTTCTGATAATCCACACCTGTACCATAATCTTCATAGGCAGTAATCTCATCAAAGAATGTCAAAAGTTTAGTAAGGCAAGATTGTCCCCTGGTGAAACCATGCTGACTATCCAACAAATTTTAAATCTTGTTAAGTGATTTTGCAAGGCATCTTTTATCAGACTTTCAAAAACTTTTCCCACCACTGACTGAAGACTAATAGGTCAATAATTACTGGGGCAATTTTTGTCACCTTCCTTGAAAAGAGGAGTAACATTAGCCAACTTCCAATATTCTGGCACCTGCCCATTATTCAAGGACTTAGAAAAAATTGTAGCAAGTGGCTCACATGTCTAATCCTTAAGCTCCGTCAGAACCCTTGGGAAAATATTATGACTCAGGTGCTTTATCATTCTTTAAAACTTTCCAGTTCTTCTTAACAATCTCAGAATTAATGTGATCATCTCGTTCAACCTTGTTTCCAGCTAGCAATTGTTCAGGTTGAGAAACATTGTTTAAATTATCATTAATAAAATCTGAGAAAAAGTAGAATTTGATAACTCAGCCATCTCGTAACTATACGATATTAAAGTCTTCCAGTATCACCCGTCAAAGCTCCTGCTCCCATTCTAACATTTTGCTTACATTTAATGTATTTGAAGAAATTCCCTACTAACAATTTTTACATTTTCAGCCAACCATTTGTCGTAAAGTTTTTTAGATTTCCTAATTTCCTACCTGACCAACTCTCTTGATCTTTTATACTCTTCCAAATCTCCCATTATTGCAGTGAATTAAAACTTCTTATATTTAGAATGCTTTTGGGTATCTTTTAGTTGGGTCTCTAGTGCATTTATTGATTTGTTATTTATCCTTACTTTTCAACTGAGTTACTTGATTTCCTCTGTCTTTAGCCTCTTGCTGAGCTTCTTCCATCAACTGCTGAAGCTGGGACAATTCTGTATGAACTGTGGAGTTTTGAAGACGTTCAACTTCTTCTACAGGAAAAAATTCCAAAATATCACTGAAGTTGTAGGATGTTTTTAATATATCCTACACTTCCTAACACAAAAGAAGTACCATATAAATGTAGAATAATCTCTTTGCCTATTTTTAGTGTAAAGGCCATTTGCTGCAGTGTTTGTTAGTTCTGGTATCATCTACTAGAAGATGCACTTTTTAAAAGCAAAAAAGAGGTTTTTATGTCTCAAATTACTCCAATTTTAAGAATTCCTCTAATAAGAATATATCAGGCATATGAAAATTTTCAGATGTCAAACTAATTAACTACATCATCAATACAATATATTACACTTTTTTATTCTCTCTACTTTTTAATACAATAGCATTTTCTTCTGCTGTGTATTTTTGTTTCCTCGCTTCTTTCAGAAGCTCTAAGATAGATAATACTTAAATCAAAATGTTTTGTTCTGAATTATAATTATTTGGCATGATAACATCTACTTAGTTAATTAGAATCATTGAAACAACACTTATATCTTACATTACTGGAAACAGTTTACCTTGAAAGATGTTATGTTAAACTTATATTAAAGTTTTTCTTCATTACCCATTCAAGCCGTCTCCAGCCATTAATAAACAGTGATAATGTTGCCATATTTGATGCTATGGTCACAATACATTAACCCTATAATTACGAGCACCCCTGTACTGTACATGTCACAAGATTTTATTTTGTTACATTCGAAATTTAATTAAGCAATTTCACAATCAATGTATACCAATGAAATTAGCATTAGAACTTACATTATAGTCCAAAGTTTTTTATTATCTAAGTTTTAATTCCTTTATTTTAAAGGAAAGCTTAAAGAAAAATTCTCAAACTTCAGTTTGATGCACAAGTTCTCAAAATTTTAACATTTCTTCTCTGTAACTTAACATTCTTTCTGTACACAATACTTCTATGTATACACAAAAGTTAATTGCTCTGTTTACACATTCATCTTTCAAGTCCCTTAAGGGATGTTGGGAGGAAAGAGAAATAAATTTCTTGGAACTCTTGACATGTCACATTTGCAATTTCTCAGCCAATCATACTTGGTTGAGCTAGATGTTTGTAACCAATAGAAAGATCACATACCAAAATACTATTTCCCAACAGTTATTTTAAAATTGGCATGAAGAATTCCATAGAGAACTTGTCAAACACTCTTAGCATTGTTGCTGCTTGCATCCACGCTAGCGCTTTAGAATAATTTCTCACCTGTAAATATGTTAGTTAGTCAGACAATTAGATTTTATTTAGATTTTGTTTTATATTTTAGTTAATTGTGTGTTAGTTATGTTTTAAAATGCATATTAGAAAGTTTAATAATTTTTTACAATATCAGCCAAATTGCCTCGGTTTATCAGGCTTAGTGTAGTAGGCAAATGTCCCAGTTCTGACGACTGCCTAGGAAACCCTGAGAATGCTCATTCATGTGTCATGATAAACAGTAATGCTAAAGGATAGGAAAGGAATATACAATATAACAAATAAACATTTTCTGAAAAAGTAAAAACTTGTTTGTTTTGAATTTTGCGCAAAGCTACACAAGGGCTATCTGCATTAGTCATCCCTAATTTAGCAGTGTAAGACTAGAGGGAAGACAGATAGTCATCACCACCTACTGCCAACTCTTGGGCTACTCTTTCACTAACGAATAGTGGGATTGACTGTCACATTATAACACCCCTATGGCTGAAAAGGTGAGCATGTTTGGTGGGATGGGGATTCAAACCCGCGACCCTCAGATTGTGAGTCGAGCGCCCTAACCACCTGGCTTTACCAGGCCAGGAAAAACTTACAATTAAGAATATGAAATACAAAGATTTCCAAGATTATTCAATAAAAAATTCATCGACATGTACGTATTTTATATTTTTAATTTTAAACATTTCACTGCACAATACGTTGATGATAATACTTGAAACATTCAGAGTCTGAGTGCAAATAACTACAATACAAAAATAACAAATCTTTAATTAAAATAATTAAAACAATATCATTCTTTGTGTACAAAATACTTGTAATCTTTAAAGAAATCTTACCAATTGTTGTGAAGATATATTAAGAAAGCTCAGAGTTATTGTGTCATTCTCCATATGAGAAGTAGCCAAATGGGTTCAACCCCATAAAAAAAAAGGTTAAAAGACATTAAGAGACAATATTGGACAGCATTTGATAGTTTATCCAGAAATAAGAAACTAGGCATCTGTTGAAATCTATTACGAGAATAATAATTGATTAATTTTCTTAATTTCAAAAAATGTGATGTTCAAAAAAATTAATCCCTATGAAGTCTACACATTTACATGCCCAAGATGCATGGAAAAATATGTAGGCCTTATCACTAATTGTTTGTTCACTCTTTTAAAAGAGCATATTATTGTAAACTTCCATCACTTAAAAACACTTTGTAAGATTAAATAGTCGAGCTGCAGATGAAGAAACATTGAGGATTCACAAGGGTCTGACAACTCAAAATCTGAAGGTAAGATTAAACTTACAAAATTTACTCATACACCTTCTCTTTAAGCCTTAAGCTTGTTATTTATTTTCTTGTATCAATGTACACTTAAATGCAAATGTTACACTGTACTCTATAAAATGGTATGCTTCTGTGTTTGTATGATTGACAACCAGTGAGTTCTTGTGTTATTAATACACTTTTCAGTTTATTATTTTCTGAATTTTTAAATATTATTGACTTATAAATACTTGTAGAATGATTCAATAACAGCTGTAAAGAGCAGAGTTCTAACAAAGCCATATGCAGTAAACAGCTAACACTACCTTTGTTAAGAGTAAAGATGTATTTATAATCACATACAACAGGCAGCAAAAACTTCTATCTGTAACATTAATAAACAGCAAAACTAACTTTATACATACAAGTCCTTGTGATATTTATGTAGGCAATAAAGTTTGATTATATGAAAGTACAGAACTTAAGGCACTTCATAAATTCAAAATAGAAATTGTTCATAAAATAACTTTAGATAAAAACATAAATAACAAAACAAATAGCATTTACCTTTCATTTTCTTCATTTCTAGCTGCAGCTTGTAGCATTCAAATGAACTGTCATTCTCCTTATCATCATTACTGCAAATAAAAGTCAGTGATGTATCACTTGTTCTTTCTTCCTTTACGGTTTTCAGTTTCTCCCCAAGGAAGATGACTTCTTCTATAATAAATAAATCACTGCATTTTAACCTATATTCTCTACTAAATTCACATACAGCAGAAACGTTGTACCTTAAAATTCCTGATAGGTGATATCTACTTTTTACTATACAATAAACTGAGCCATATGAAACAATCAACTACCATATATTAAAGCCTAATAATACCAGTTATCTTGTCACTTGTACAAATTAAGTCATGCCATCTGAAAAACTACCATACACCTGTCTTATAAAAACTAATACTAAGTTATTCACATGTATAAACTAAGTCATGCAAGAGAATCCTCTACCATATATTAAAATGTAATAATACTGATACTAATTTATCTTGTCACTTGTATAAAGCGAGTCATGCAAAACAATAAATTAACATATATTAACCCTATTGCCACGGGTATTCTTTACTGTGCATGACACAAGGTTTTAGTGTCTTATTTTATTAACAACTTTATTTCTGTTATACCAATTAGTATAGCATAAAATCTGAGCTAATAATCCATATTTTAATAGTATATAAGATTTAAGTTCTTAATTCTATAAGGCAATATTTAAAACATTCTGAACTTCCCCAAGTGTGACACACGCGACACATTTTCTGTAGATATCTTCTCTATTTTATCCACCACCCCTCCAATAACTACAAAGTTAAATGTAAATTACTCACTATAAAATCGTTATTGCTCAGACAAACCACAATTTTTATAGCCTTCAAATAGAAAATCAGACCCCTCCTGTCACATCCTCTATTTCAGGATTTGTTAATAATTCTCTCTCACATTTAATTATATATTATCTATAACCAACAGAAAGCCAAGGTTTTCATCTATCGAATGATGTAATGTATAACGTTGTTTTCTGAACAGATAATTGTCAATTTCATTAGTAGTACAGGCTTTGTTCCCATGGGAAAAATAACGACTAGCTCATTTGTAATGACTCTTGTTGCATTGTTAGAAAGCCAGTGATTGTAAGAGGAAATTGTCTGCTTTTTGCATGTTATTATTTTATGTTCTTTGGTGCATTATTTAATTAAATAAAAATTATTTTGTGAATTACTACCATTAGTATAAATAAAGTAGGATTAAGTGTCATTGACAGTCAACAAGAAAAAAAAAGAAAGAAGGCAAAGGTAAGTACTTTATTTCTTGTTTTTCATGTGTATTCTGTATTTATTATTATAAAAGTAACTAAAATGTAAAAATAGGAAACTCTTAGGATAGTTAAAGTTGGATTAGGTAAAATAAATAATAATAGTATAATAAAATTTTTCACAAGGCATGCACATGGACTGCTTGGAGTAGCTCATGGGTAATGTAATTCAATAGTGTAACATGAGCTGCACATTTCCCAAGTGATTTACAACTTATAATGGCGCAAATAGTACTAGTAGTTACACATAGTTCAAAGGGCAGTAAAAATAAAATTTAAATAAAAATAGATGTATACTGTTACAAGTTTAAAACTACTTAGGATAAACAAATGTAGCTTCATGGTACAATTGGAAGTCATTCTAGAAAGAAAAAAAGGATAGATTTTTTTTTTTTGGTGATTATAAGGCCAGTCAAATTTACCAACCTTGTATAGAGACAATAACAATAAAATGTATTTAGGAGGTTTTAGAGATCACACAAATGACATATGAGATTTTTGAGAGGAAGAAAAGTGTTTTTAATCTTAACATGAAAATCAATTTGCACTTGAATTGGTCAAAAGAAAAAGACAAATCTTTAGAAAAAATACTTCTTTAAAAAACTAATTTTGTGTACAAATGACTTGTGATGTTTACTAAAAGTCTGCCACATTTAGTGAAGAGGCACATACTGTATTAAATGTTATAGTCTTACAACAATATTCAAGTAAAAATGGTCATGTGGAGCCTGTATTAAGAGTTTCTAACCAGCTCAAAGTAAATTGCACAGTGCATGTACTGTACGTATATACTCTAGTCTAATTGACTATATTGCGGGTGCATTCCAAATGTCATAACAGACTATTACGAAGTGTATGTGTATGTGATATGCACCTGACAAAGTGTAAAAAACTGTATATACCGTTTGGCGGGAATTTTCAAGAAATGAACATCAGCTTTGGCTTTTATATATCAAACTGAATCGTTATGGCACTTTCATTGTGTTGTTGGAGCTCTCGAAGACAACATACAAGAGAAAGGAATGATTTGCACATTATGCTAAGCAAAAATGAAAGTGATTCGCAACTGGGGTTGTTTTGATTTGCAAATTTCAGTGTAAACCCAGATATTTAGTCCCCTGCATAAAGATAATGGATTTTTTAAGCCATAGTTGATATAGTTTCTAGAATTTTGCCCTGCACATTACCGAAAAATTATGGAAGTTAAAAGAAATTCTGATAGTTTTTTTTTAGAAAGAACCTCATAACAAACTGAACAGTATGACTATCAACAAAAAAATTTAAATTATTGTGTGAAAACATAACTTGTGTAAGATCGCCTGATGATTTCACAGTAAGTCATATAGAAATAAGAGTGGAAAATTATGGGTAAACAAAGTACATTCAACATGTAAATGAAATTCAGAAATTTTTAGCCACAGGTTCTGTTGACAGTGTGAGTTCAATTGCAGGACAGGCTTTTACTATTTCGAAGGTAAGTCTACCTGACTTGAAAGTATTTGGATGGTCAACAGTGAACAGTTTCATTCATTATGTATGCACTGTAATTCCAAACAGATAGTTCTGGAGAAGGTTATTTTATATCTATATATTATTTATTTTAAAACTGAAGTATTACAGTTAAATAAGCATACCTTGAAAATCTAGTAAATACATGGAGTACACTGTTCACTTCTTGATGAATTTTTGTATTTTTCATCTTAAGCAAAAACTAACACAGTAAAAGACTTTTACAATTACTTTTGTAATGATCTAAATGGAATGAAGTTTGTAGAACTATAACTGAGTATAAGTAAAAATAATAATACTTTTAAAACACTTTTAATTTTTTTTAAATCAAATTTTAATGAATGTTTTTCTTTAGAATCACAGATGAGTTCATGCTTCGTATAATATATGTCATGACATAACATACTGTTTGGAATAAACCCCAATAAAATGGACTCAGAAGTACCTAAAAATTAAATTTTAAAACCAGAAGAATGCAATGTTTTCATCAGTTAATATGGCAAAATATCTTGTGAACTTACACACTTCTGAGTTCTTTTTTGAATAGCCAATGATATGATTTCCTACAATAGGGTGATACAATTGGAGAGCTTGAAGAAGAACAAATTATTTCACTACCATTTAAGGCTGCATCTTCAGTCTTTGTATCACTTTTTATTGTCCACTCATAGATATGGTCCACTGTTTCGATTGTTTAAGAGGTTTGGCAAACACAGGTTCCATCCAAACTGTTACAAACACACATGTTAATCCACCAATGAAGGATATACCCATGAAAACAACAAGAGCAACTCTCCAATAGAAGAGTTTGTCAAAAATTTCAAATTCGTCATTTTCTGATGTATCAAGCTGCTCTCGAGGGATCACAAAAAGAATTATAGTGACAACTGCTAAGACAAAAATGGTAGCTAACCCTCCTGTTCTATAAAAAGAAAAAATATAAAAATTACTGAGTAATAATTACAACAATATAAAGACAATAATGTCAAAAATGTACCTGAACATATACAGATATTAAAATTAATGAGTAACTGTCACCTTTTTAGTGTTGAACCACATAAAACATTGTGTAAGATCAGTAACAAATAACCTATGTTCAAGAATGAGAAACAGTTGCTGTACTGTAAACAGTTAAACTTTCCAATAATGGATAAGCCACTTAATCCTCACAACACAATTTTTCCAGTAAGAAAGAATATTTTTAAGGTATAAATTCTGATGAAACTAGGGATGTTTCCAAAAATAAATCAAGGAAAATTAGGGCAAGTCTTTAATTCAACATGGTGACTGAGATGTAATAGTAAGAGATTCTTTGTAATAACATACTTGTTAGTAATAAACAAGATTAAAATTTACTTACTACATCAAACATCAAGATCATAAACCTTCCTTATCATATAAGACCTGATTAGTTATCATCTATCTAGATGCTTATTATAACTTTACATCTGGCATTTTTACCACGATGAACAGAAGTTATAATTTTTCTATAATGAAAATGTATTTCCAGTAGGTACTTACCTCCACTCATTTATGGTAAAATAAGTATGAAACAAAAATATTTGCTAACACTATTAATTTATCACTAGCAGAGATCTGCAAAACATTTTTGGCCAAATCAGTATCTTTATTGTAATAGTACTTCTTTAAATATAACATTTGTAGCACAATACAAACAAATTGTAATCGTAGACAACAAAATGTGTAAATCCACTTGTATATATGCCATACTTTATAAAATTTTAACTTATGTTAGGTGTTCGATAAAGAGATAAATTAACACTGTAACCTGTGTACATTTTTTTTTACTTTAGTCTAGTTAGAACTAAATCTTACTGTACATAATAGTATCGATAAATAAACTTATAATGTTATTCTAAAACCTAACATCAAACCTTTTTAAAGTTTTTAATATTCTGTTGTACAAAATGGTTGGTAAAGTATATTTATATTCCCCCTTTTGTTTTTACTTCTTGTTTCATACAGCAGTTGTAGTGACTTGATCACTGAGCTTTGCAGCTCTCTGCCACAGGCAGACTATTTGTGGTCGAGTGAATAATGTGCATGCACAGTTTTTCTTGTGGAAACATCTTAACTACACATGGTTATGCAGCAGGTTCACGGTCAGAAAGCATAACTGCCATAGATACAAACAAGCAGAATAATAGTATAGATTATTATGTTTATTAAGTATGTTTAATTAATCAACAATTTTATGTTAAAAGATTATGACTGTCAACCTGCTCAGAATGGTAACTATTAAACAGACTTGTTTTGCTGAGTTCAGCTGCAGTTATTTTAACTGTCTACAATAATGCAGTCTTGCAATTCATGCTTACTGCATGTAGCTGTATGAGTATCACACGTAGCATCAAATACATGTATATAAACAATGTATATTTCTTATTTTTATTTAAAATATACAAAAGATAATGACTTTTCTATTTAATGTATTTCTAAACTACATATGAATGTTTCATTTCATTTATATAGATTACTTGTAAAATAAAACAGTTTCAATCATATATAAACTAGTAGTTATGGTGATATCATTAGTAAATAAAGCAAATTAGTACAATCAATGGTTCAAACCTCTGAAAATTAAAATCTACCCTTCCCTACAGTTCTACTAACCATCAAGTTATAAAGTTTTGCATTTCATAGAAGTGTGGTGCCCAAAAGTAACAGCTCTTTCCCACACAAAATATTCATACGCTCACTGACTTAGGTCATAAAGAAATGTTCAGGTAGGAGATTTAGAATTTACAAGAGGGGGGGGGGGTATTTTTTGTACTAAATGGCATCAGAAAACAAAGAAATATGGTGCTATTTGGAGCTCCAGAACTATTCAGAAAAAGACCTGCAACAAGTGATACACCAGGTGATATGCAATTTTGGCATCTTGTAACAATAATCCATGAGCATAAATATCAGTGGCAAAATCCATCCACATGCCTCAGGCAACAGAACAAAACATAATTAAAAAGAGTTGATTAACAATATGGATCAAGTCACCACACACAGCTCCTATGGATTTGTACATAATTAGATTGTTGAAATGGTTATTCAGAAACCACTGACCTTGAACACAAAATGGCTTATGTAATATATGACAGCTTTATAATGAGCCTTTTGCAATTGAAATTACACTGCAGGGCTATTTTCAAGAAGCAAAGCCATCAGAAAGAGCATGACTGGACATAGCAACATGAACTGTAATGACACAGTGAGACTCCAAAATCATTTCACAAGGAAAAATGACTAACAATCACAGTGACCAATTCTTTTACCAAACACCACACAAAACAAAATGGACATTGCCTGACACATGATCTTTCTTAACTCTTAATAAAGTGATAAACATAAACATGTTAATGAAGAGATATTGTACAAGTAAAAAATCCTTCAACTTATTTTGGTCCCTTTTATTAATGTAACAGCCAGTACTTCCATATATAGCTATGTTGACAACACCATCTATGTGATAATCATTTACTTTACTATAATTTGTTCTATAGTTTTGCTGCAATGTCACTTAAACATTTTATGATCATTTGCTAACAGCTACCCATGAAAGAATGGCAGAACACTGTGAAACTTTTATTGCTAGTAATTTAATAACTTTTCCAAACATGTATGACTGAACTGTGGGTGGAAATTTTACTTTATGATGCTGCTCTTTAAACTCAACAAATTATAAAAGTATATGTCATTTGTTTTCAATGTATGAAAAATTTAAAACTGAAAACTTAATGTAGCATAAAGACAAGGGATTATTTAGTCTTCCAAGGCTGTTATCACACACCAAACCTTCAGTAAAAATTTAAACCTAACTTTTAATATATGTTTTACAAAATTATAAATTTCCCACTTAAGCTCTTTAATTTTCAAAATGCTGACCTCCATTAATTTCTATGGCAACTTATTCTATATGTTAATCACACTATTACTGAGTATTAGACATATCACACACCATTGTCTCTTACACATCACCATCAGACATTCAGTTATCATTCACACTTTACAAATTACAGCATTTACCTTATGTGAAATGTATGAATAATGAAGTATGTAACCTGTGCCCTAAGCTTGCTGTTGAATCCTTAAATGAAAACACCCAAAAATATTAATTTTTAAATGTAAAGAACAAAGAGTTTAACAGTCAATGGTAGCAATTCACCCATGAACTGGTAATACTAATACATCTAACTTCCAAAACCACTCAAGTTATTGACTGGGTTTTTATTTTATGATTTGTACAAATCTTTCCGTACATAATTTGTTTGACTAAGCAACATGTCAACAACCCCTTTAAGTTTAACTTAAACTATGCCTAGCGTAATTCTAATTTAAATGAACTTGTGGCTGTGCTTCGCCATAAATCATATTCATAATGATTGAGCTCAGCCTCAATACGCCAGCCTAGGCTTACAGTTAAACCATAATAGAACGTTCCAATGTACCACTCTTAAGGAGAATTTTAATACTTACGTGGCTCCTATTGTTTTCGTTCTAGAAATAGCCAAAAAAATAAACACCGCAAAAGACCAAATAAAAGCAACAATAAACACACCAGGGCCAACACCAAACACACGTCCTGATTCCATTCGTACTAGCAGAACTAATACTACTCAATACTGCCGAGTCGCAGTAACAACTTAACAATTGTATTTGAAAACGAATATTCCAAAAAGATGTTTTTTTCTCAATATGAAATAAGCGGAAAGCTCGCCATGCCTATAGTCAACAGTATAACTTCGAAGAAACGGCAAACAAAAGTTTGTAAAATTCGATATTATAAAACATTTCTACGTAATGCAAATAACCGGGTTCGAAAACTGTGTCGTATACAGTACAGCGTTCATTTCGTAGCTGTACGCTTAAATTAAAGTACTTGCGATCATCAATCAGCAAAATCAAATAGTGTAGGCCTCGAAAGCTACCATTGATATTGAAGTGGGCAACCTCGAAAGTCTATTGACTGATTTAAAAACACTGCGTTAACACTGGACCCAATTCTTAATTAAGCTAAACCGATTGCAAATAATATGAATCTTTCGCCATAGTTGCCTGCGAAATGGAAAACAGTTCCCAGTTATCATGATGAAATAAAGATGACCCTTGCCTAATTGTAAAGAAAATGAAACCTGTAGTGAAGACAAACTTCAGATGAAACACATTTCTTCCCCGAAAGGGGGCCAAAGACCACCTGGAAGGGTCACCTGTTTTAGCCATTCACACCATTATACAGTAGTGTATTGTCTATCAATCAGTCAGTAGACACTAAAATGACGTCACATTACAACTTGTACTGTCGTGACATCAGTAAAACGTATGTGTGCCAAGAATCACCAGAAGAATTATGCATTCTGTAGGCTACAACGTGACATACAACTTCAAAAGCAAGAAATAAAAATATTTGTTGCTCTTAATTTTGGTTTTATTTGTTTGTTCGCAATTAAGTATAAAGCTACACAACAGGCTATCTGTGCAATTCCCACCACTGGTATCGAAACCCGATTTCTAGCATTGTAAGTCCGCAGACATACCACTGGGGTGCATTTGGGTTTTATTTAATCTTGAAACAGAACAATTTCGGAGACCCTGTGGAAGCTAGTACATCAAGTATTAGATTCTGTTATTGGTGGGCTCACTAGAAAATGAAGGCCACACATGGATATTAATCAGGTTTTTTGTTTGGAAATATCTAGATATATCATGGAATGATCTATGCTCAAAAACTAGGGAGCTTGCTGCCAAGTTTAGATCTGATGAGTCAGAAGACATAATGGAAGAAATGAAACATCTAAAGGCTATTCATAAAGCTAAATTTGGTAATACTGTGTTACGTCTCTGGTGGTTAGTTAATTTCCGTATAATTTCTTTCTGAAGAAACTTTAGCGATACAAGTCCTTTCTTAAACAAAACTGGCAGCACAACTTCCCGCAACTTTCTCGTATAACTGTTTGCCAAGCCGTCACTTTCCCATCTGAGTTTTCCATCTCTGGACAAGAATACCATTTTCAAGCTTCAACTGGTCCCATTGCGCCCAATAATGCTTTGTCACAGGGCTTAGACTAAACACCTT